TGCAGTGATAATATTAATACAATCCTTAAATCATGTAGTGTTAATCTATGAAATAAAATATACTGATCGGAAACCCGTATCAGCCACTGAACAAAATATTGGGTTACTTTAATTACAAATTCGCTACTTTCACAGCAGTTCAGATCTGGCAACCCTGGCCACCGCCTGTCCTCTCCAGCCTCGCCTTACACCACATATCTTATCCCGTCTCGTCTTATCCCGCCTCGTCTTATCCCGTCTCGTCTTATCCCGTCGAGGGGGGGGGGGCGAGGGGGAGGGTAGAAATAGCCTAAGCTACTCTATCCCTTTGAGATGTATTTTAATACTAATTTTGAATAAGCAGTGCGTTAACATTGATGACTGCCTTGAGGCCTGGTTAATGTGTGGGGTGCTCAGTTGACCTTTCGGGAAATGCTTATTGATTTAAAATTCTGATATTCAAGTGTATTGAGATTATAAAATACATCCCAAAAAGGATAGAGTAGCTTAGGCTATTTCTACCCTCCTCTATTAAAGGTTGCCCAAAGGCCTCAAAAATCCATACAGTACACAAATTATAATCAATCGTAATTTACATTACAATTACATACATTAATTAATTCGCAGTAACATTAGAATTAATTAATTAATTAATTCCAACATGTTACTGCGTACGGGCGTAGCGTCATATCTCGAGTGTTTGCTCAATTCACTGCGGCAATCCGACTCGCTGATAAGCACAGCACCGGTGATGCCAGAGTCACGGGGTCCCTGACCAATGTGGCTCCTGTTGCATGATCTACGTTCTCGGCTCATACTCATACCCGAAGGACCTGAGTTCAAACTCCGAGTCGGACAAAAAAGGTTGGGAAAAACGGTTCTTTTCACCTCTGGTCACCTGGTAGTAAAATAGGTACCCTCTTGTGAGGTCGCACCCTGAGGAAGGTCAGCTGTTGGGCTAGGGCAGTGGTTCTTAATAACCCGTGGGTCGCGACCCACATTAATAAGGGGCTATTTGGGTATCAGAAAAGGACCCTGGCCTATGGGGATCTCGATAAACTCTAAAAGTTCAGGCTTCCTGTCCCCGACAGCGGGAAGTATAACGTAGATGGGGACGCAAAAATATGTCAAATAGTTTTAAATATTAGGTTCAAGTTAAAGGTTTTTGATAATTTATAGTATTCAGCCAGTACAGTATATGAAAATGCCAACCAAAAAATTAGAGTAACTACAGTTACTGTGTATGGAAATACAAAATATGGATTGCTGACCCTGATAGTACATGTTTTGCCGTAATAATTTTGTAACGGCCGAAGGAAGAAGGCAACACACAACCTTTCCTAAACATAGAACATAAGAACATAACATAGGAATGAGGGTAATTGCAGAGGGCTTATTGGCCCATACAAGACAGCTCCTATTTATATCCACCCAATCTCATTCGTATATGTCGAACCTACGCTTGAAACAATCAAGAGATCCTACTTCTATTATGTTACGCTGTAATTGGTTCCACAAATCAACAACCCTGTCACCGAACCAGTATTTACCCAGGTCTCTCCTAAATCTAAACTTATCCAATTTATAACTATTGTTTCGTGTTCTATTTTATGTTGATACGTTTAATACCCTATAATATTCCCTTTGTTATATCTATCTCCACTGTGCCTTCTTTCACCAACTTCGAGGTCAACTACGGAGCTCACAGTTCCTGCGACGGCGCTGGAACCAATCCTATTGGCGTTTGCCTTTCCATTGGAGACGTTCGGAGCCGTAGAGAGGGGAGGACCTGCTGCATGGGTAACAGCCTCTCCTCCGTATTCTTCTCCTTACCTGGCTTTGCGCCCTGGAGAGGCCACTCCAGACCGACAACGAAAGCGCAAGTCCATGGTCTCCTGAGACTGATGGATGCCTACTATGTATGCAATCTCAACACCATCTAGCTCGTATCATGTAACTATCTTCATTACCTAGCCTCAAAACCTTATATTTGTCAGCATAGAATAGCATACGTATGCTTAATACAGCCTATCCTCCCAAAATGAAAGTACTTATAGTAACGATGTGGTGGAAGGTACAAATATGTCATAACGGATTTCCTCACAGTAGATTTTTTGTAGTATTAAATTTGAACAATCTGGAAAACTGTTTATAATTATGTTGCTAATGAAACCTAACCCTTTTAGGCCTAATGCACGCGATCTGATGACTAATATTACACATATATATGTGCTATACTAGGCCTAGGGATAATGAAGTTTAATTTTAGCTATATTTTTTCGAACTCTAAAAAAAAAATTGTACAAAAAGTGGTTTACTGGGGCTCAATTACGAGAATTCTGGGTCCGAATCCCGGGCAGGACAGAAATAGTTGGGCACATTTCCTTTCACCTAATGTACCTGTTCACCTAGCACTAAGTAGGTACTCAGGACTTAGCTTGTTGTGGGGTTGCATCCTGGGTGGGGTCAGTAATTCGACCTTGGAGGGGGGAGGGGGGGGGGAAGTGACCTCGATATAAGCTTCCAATCGCCCTCTTCTCTTCTCTTATCTCCCCCTCACTTCTCCTTTTTTCTCCTCCTCCTCGATCTTCCCCTCCTCTATCTCTTTCTCTAAGTTTGTCTCCCTCAGAAGATGATATACCGTAACCCAAATGAATTCACATTCATCGTTTTTAATGAACCATGAAAATGTGGCTTGGGTAAACAACAGGAGTAAGCATCAATACTCTACGGAAAACAAACCCTAATTTTATTTCAGATCATGAAAATCACAGGGAAAAGGGGGGGGGGTGCTTAAGGTGCCAATATTTCATTAATGGCGGAGCTTGGGACGACCCCAACTGGCTTATGACACTCATATACACCCCTTGTTTTGTGTTGGAGAATTGGGTGAGGTTAGCCCAAAGCATCTGAGATTTTTGGACGGATAGACAGACATTGTATTTAATAGTTATATATTAGTAAATCTATTATAATAGTTATAGGTTAAAAAGGTAAACCCCAAAATTTGTTTAGCTAAGCAATTCAGCACTAATGAGCCAGTTATATAATTTGTTAGCGAAAATAAACCAATAGTATCTTCACAGTTTACCAAACTACCAATCACCGTGGCTCAAGAGACCCTAACATAAAGATCGATTGGGATTTTATTAGTCAAGCCAGGTATATATGACAGTTATATAAGTTACAATTAATATCACATGTTTGCTAAAGCATGCATCAATCGTTCTTTATTATTTGTACTATGAATGCCATAATTAACAAGTTATAGTTTTAAATTTTCTCACCATAAGATTTCACTATACAAATCCCCAGACGAAAATTTTTACAAAATATCTTTGTAATACTATAGGTATAACCTGCTTTATATATATATATACATATATATATATATATATATATATATATATATATATATATATATATATATATATATATATTGTGACGATAATCTCTTTCAAGAGAGATTGAGCCTGCTCTTCCCTACACATTTACGTCATTCAAGTACAAGATACTATATTGAAGATACGTCCACCAGTATCGCCAAACGTTTTGCCAAGGAAGCAAAGCGTACCTTGCACCACCAGACACACCGGCTCCCGCCCGCCGTCAAACCAGCAAACTACTCATTCTCCGCCTGCCTGTTCCTGATTGGCTGGTGTGTCGCCGCACCTGCACTTACGCCACTACCTGAGTCGACGTCTGGGCCAGCAGCACGCCGTACTCCTCAGAATATCCCTGTGCTCCTTGGAGTTGAAATCTCTCTATAGTAGACTAAGCTCTGGCTGTCGTGTACTAAGGGAGGTGGCAGCTTGAAGCCAGTATTCTCAGCACCTGATTTTGATTTATATTAATATCACTATAACCTGCACTTTATTGTCTTAGAGTAAATTTTTACTGACATTAATTATTCATGTTGTTTTGTTTGTTGACTTGTTATGAATTTTACGTAAGCCAAGAGATTGTCTTTATTCATATCTTGTTTTCTAGAGTAATTAAAATTTCATTGTTTATACTTTGTGTTTTGTGTGTCTTCCCATTACCTTACCACAGACAAAAGAGCAAACGATCATCTTTTTTTTTTTTATGTGACGAGGCCCTGCCCCCAGCTATTGAAACAGTCGAACACCAACGCTTTACCGTCACAAAATATATATATATATATATATATATATATATATATATATATATATATATATATACACAGGGAATACTGTGGTTCATTTCCTGAGCCCATTATGTGACTCTGTAATCCTTACCACTCACAAGTGGGACATGAGGCACTCAATAATTGAACTAAACTTAAAAGATTAACTAAACAAAAGTAATTTTCTAGGTGGCGCGAATAAATATACACATGAACAACAAATATTAAATATGACATTAAGACTACTTTGCGGATCATTATGCATGCAATCAAAAGGCATCTGTATTTTTAATTAAGTGTAAAGTCAAGCCACGTAGAACTTATTAAAAGAAAAAAAAAAGATGTTTAGTAGGACGTCGACACGAATCGACCTCTGTGTGATCTTTTGTCATTGACAAACTTATTCTCAGAAATGGGTGCCAGCCATTCCTATATCAGTTTAATCTTTATATCTTGAGAATACGTAATTAGCACTTGTATTTGATTGTAGCATTAATAACCCCAAATATCTGATTTCGAACCAAACATCAATTAATGTTGGACACGTCAGTTTTAAAACCTACGAACGCCTGTTCATAAAAGACGCCATACCACTTGACGCCCAATCACATTATCTACTTTGCTTCGGTCAAGCACATGGTTAATTACGCATCGAAGAAACTTGGCCTCATTATATATTCGCTTTCTGTGAAATATAGCTAGTTCCAATATGGGTGGGGTACGTCAGTTGGCTCCTCCCCTCACATCCTTGAAGGAGTGAAAACGGGAAGTTCAAATATTTCACCTCAAATTTTCCCTTAGGATTGCAGCCCCTCATATTCTACAAACATAACGCACAAGGACCACTTACTGTAACGTACAATTAACCGCATGGCCATCCAGTTAGCAGCAGATGAGTATGACACTCAAATGAAGTAAAAACACCTTGAACTCTGAGCATGTTTGCGCATGCGCCTGATCAGCTGTTAGAGTATAGACGTGTGAACCTCTTCGACCATAACACACTGTATTGACTCCTAGTGTACTGGAATCGAGTTCGAATTGATTTAAAAAGTCGGAGAAAGCAAGTGAATGATAGAAAAGGTTTCTAAATATATTATTGTCTATTTCGGGCCCTCTATAAATAATGAATTCGCGCTGAAGTCTTATTTGTTTTAGTTTCTTTATGTTGTTAAATTGAGAAGAGATGAGGCAGGCCAGAATAAAGGACGCACAACAGTTCTAATACGTAAATCATGAGAAGAACACCTTAACTGTAATGAAGACGCTTCAAACATTGTAACGAAGGCTGTGTGAGGTGTACAGTATGTTGGAGCTAGAAGTTTACCCAGAACAGTCACTGACCTCGGAAAAATGGGATTTCGTTTTAGGTAAGTGGTCTTATCCGAAATCACTAGCATCGTATTCATTGTTTACGACTTGTGAGGCTATTGTGCATCTTGAGATGAAAATATTATTTGTATAATTCAATGGCTAACTTCAATAATTCAGTGTGCTGGCATAGTTAATTTGCTAGTGGTTATGTAATGGATTATTACCTGGAACAACAAATTTATTATAATTGCTCATTAGTTTGTGATTAGCTTTACAGTATTGTTGTCTTGTTCGATATGCTGATTAGTTGATTTGCCACAGTGCAGATTATAATAAAAACTGATGATTTTATCACTGACAATGGGAAACCAAACTATATATTTTATACTTAAAATATATATATTCTGTATTTATATGTGTGTAAATCACGAAAATTAACATGGGATGAAAAATGTGACAGTGTCAAACCACGGATAATGAATTGAAACAGGAATTTCCTTAAGTACTTTCGTATATTAATTAATACATCTTCAGAAGCAATGATTTACATGATTTACATGTTACAGTATTGGACATATATATAGGGAGGAGAGAGAGGGGAAGTGAGGTACAATGAAAAATGAATGGGAATTAGGTGGATACAAATAAGAGCCGCATAAGAACTGCAGAAGGCTTATTGGCCCATGCGAAGCAGCTGCTATTTATCCCCACCAATAGGCCCACACATGGATAATAATAGCATAAGATAGTAAATATTTACAATGAATTAGTGAGACAAATGTGTATCGATGATTCTACTCAAATCGCCCTTTAATTGATCTATCAAAAATGGATCTAAGTTATATAAACCACTGCTAATGTTCAAATTACATTCTTTTGTAATCTGTATTGAAGCAGATTCAATTATGTTCCTGTTATAAGTGATTTTATAATTCAGTATTGAAGAAACCATCTCCCAATCAATTTGGTGAGCATTTCCTGACAAATGAACAAACAAAGCATTAGACAATTGGCCATGTCTTACAGAGTATTTATGTTGCGAAATTCTACACTTCAAATCTTTAGATGTTTGCCCAACATAGAACTTATTACAGTCTTTACAAGGTATTTTATAAATGACACAATTATCACTATGAGGGCTGTTTCTAACTAATAGTTTACCAACAGTATTTTCGTAGCTAAACAATACATGTATCAAAAAGTTTCAAGGCCTTGACCATATTTTCAAACCCAGAGAAATATGGTAAACATAAGACATTCTTTGGGCAAATTTTTTCACTGCATATATTATTATAATATGCACGACGTGCTTTGCTACGGCAAACTTCCAAAAAACTCGGTGGATAACAAAGCTTGAGACCAATAGAATCAATATTCTTAAAGTCTTCATCTAAGAATTCTGGACTCGCAACCCGAAGAACTCTGATACATTGAAGAATAAATTGTCTTTAAAAATTAATCAAAACTGATTAACTTTACATCAGGAGTGACCGGAACAGTATTTAATTTGTTAACTAATTCAAGAGAATTGGTCAAATGAGAAGAGGAAATAGTTCCTAACAATGGGGGCAAGATTTTGGTAAGCCATTTAGAAAGCTTGTAAGAAATGTATCCCACAGAACTGATGACAGGCCTCATGGGCTTGTTAGGTTTATGCGTCTTGACAAGTTCCATAGAGGTATGGTAATGAAGGTGATGAGGTAGTAAGTTGATTAAGATCTTTGTTTACTTAACAACTTCCTCAAGCTGCTATTGAAGAACTTGATGATGTCCTCAAAAGTATTTTTCCTGAGTTTAGTGTATGTTGAAGAATCTTGGAGAAGATCATTCATTTTTTAAATATATTCCTCCTTGTTTAGAATAACAATAGTGCTGGATTTATCAGCCTTTGTTATATGAATTGAGGGGTCGGCTCTTAACTCCTGTAAGCTTCGTCTGAACCTTTCAGGGAAATTGTTTGTTTGAGGGGTCAACATTGAACCATAAACAATACCTTTGGTTAAACATTTAACCAAACACATTTTATTGCATAAAATACACATTTCTAGGTGTCTGTTGTAGTGTTTTTCCTGTAGTTTCGGGACTATATGTCCCCCCCCCCCCCACCTCACAAAAAAACAAAACAATTAAACAAAATATACATTATGCATTAAATTTATCAATAAAAACCAAAACTTTTAAGATTTTCATAAAAACCATGCACAGACTCCTGGAAATACTGTATTAATGCTATAATATTTATTCTAACATAGTTCTTGTTACAATATTTTTTTGAACTATATTCAATGATTTCCTGACCTTTTTTTCACACTATGTTCTAAGATTTTTTCTGTGAGAATAATAAAAAGAGTTTCTAATCACCTAACAGTACTCTATTCACTTATCTGTCCATGAAGGCAATTGGCATACTTCACTGCCAATTTTCTCCTTGATAACCAGCATTGAGAGGAATTATGTATTGTGCTCTGAATGCATTCAGTAATATCAGATTTTTAAGGGACAGTTATGTTTTGCTCTCTTGGTAGCTGTTGAAGCCTGATTCAGGATTTGTTATACATGTACTGTATATGTTATGCTTTATAACAACTGAGCTTTCTTTCTCTTGGCAGGAATGCATTTTAGCCAGGCTGTGGCCATAATTCAGCATCAGGTCGGCACCATTCGTGGTGTGCATGTCCTCTACAGCGACACCGTAAGTGATGTAGACTTTATGGATTGCAGTATTTATTGAGGAAGTTCTACAGACATTCAGATAGAGGGGGTTACTTTTAAATTTCACTACTTTCAATTATCTACAAGTTAGGTTATTTAATATATGTTTTATATTTATTTATTTATTTATTTATTTATTTATTTATTTATTGTGTCCTTGCTCAGTAGTCTATGCATAGCTAGTCATTTCAAAGTTTATTTTTTCCAAATGCCCTCAAAAAATCTTCAATATATTTATCAATTATACATTTAGTTGCTAATAATATAAGTGAAATAATTTAAATTTAGGTATGTAAAGGTATATTAATCATATTATGTGGTTAATAACTCGCTTGGTGAGTTCATCTGAATAAGATCTGAACTACTGTACATAACCTAAGAGCTCGCAAAGTTATTTAAATTGCTAGAAATACTTTCCTTACAGTTTTAAAAGTAAAGATAAATGAAAATAAAAACAAGATTTATCATTTCAAAAAAATTTAATCACAAAAATCTTTGATTAAGGCTTCATCTGGTGTTTGTAAAGAATGGGTTTATGAAAGTTCATAAAATAGAATAATAAAACATTTTCTTCAATGTTTCTGAGAGCTCTAAGGATATGTAGTTCTGAGTTTATAGATGATGAAGTTAGTGCCGTATATACAGGTACTGTAGTTTCAATTTAAAAAGCCCAAGTTCACTTATTTATAAAGTCAGCCTAATTGCTCATAACATTTTCTTTAGTTCGAAAAAGAAAGTCAATATTAAATATACAGTGGAACCTCGGAGTACGATTGCCTCTTGAGTACGAAATTTCAGTGTACGACAACAGTTTCATCGTATAATCTACCCTGGTGTACGACGTTTGATCCACAGTTTGAAGCGCTTGTTCAGTATCCACTCCATTTAATTGACGACCTATGTGGGGCTATACCCAAGCTGTTAAATTCTGGGCCCCGCAATATCTGGAGAGGTAAAAATGTCGCTAACTTTTTTTTTTTTAGTCATATTTGGAAGGGCAACAGGATGGATGGTAGGGGGGCTGGATAGAGGGTGTGTGGAACTGGATGGTCAGGGGACTGGATGGATGGTGGGGGACTGAATGGATGGATGGTGGGGGACTGGATGGATGGTCAGGGGACTGGATGGATGGTGGGGGACTGGATGGATGGATGGTGGGGGACTGGATGGATGGATGGTGGGGAGACTGGATAGATGGATGGAGGGGAGACTGGACGGATGTATGAATGGATGGTAGAGGGACTGGTTGGATGAATGTTAGGTGACTGGATAGATAGATGATGGGGGGACTGAATAGATGGATAGTGGGGACTGGATGGATGGATGGATGGTGGGGGGGGGGGACTGGTTGGATAGATAGTGTGGGAGGGCACTGGTTGGATAGTGTGGGGACTAGATAGATGGTGGGGGGATTGGTTAGATGGTTGGATGGTAGAGGGACTGGATAGATGGATGGTTGGGGACTGAATGGATGGTGATGGGGACTGGATGGATGGTGGGAGATTGGATAGATGGGTGGATGGTGGAGGACTGGATATATGGATAGGGGGGGACTGAATGGATAGATGGTGGGGACTGGATGTATGAATGATGGGGGACTGGAAGGATGGATAGATGGTGGGGACTGGATGTATGGATGGTGGGGACTGGATGTATGAATAATGGGGGACTGGAAGGATAGATAGATGATGGGGGGACTGGATGTATGGATGGTGGGGGACTGGATAGATGGATGGTGGGGGACTGGATAGATGGATGGCAGGTGAGACAATGAGAGTCAAGCAGGACTGTAGCGGGGAGTCGGGCAGGAGTGTAGGGGGGGGGGGTTGAGTCGGGCAGGAGTGTAGGGGGGGGTTGAGTCGGGCAGGAGTGTAGGGGGGGGGTTGAGTCGGGCAGGAGTGTAGGGGGGGGTTGAGTCGGGCAGGAGTGTAGGGGGGGGTTGAGTCGGGCAGGAGTGTAGGGGGGGGTTGAGTCGGGCAGGAGTGTAGGGGGGGGTTGAGTCGGGCAGGAGTGTAGGGGGGGGGTTGAGTCGGGCAGGAGTGTAGGGGGGGGGTTGAGTCGGGCAGGAGTGTAGGGGGGGGGGTTGAGTCGGGCAGGAGTGTAGGGGGGGGGTTGAGTCGGGCAGGAGTGTAGGGGAAGGGGTTGAGTCGGGCAGGAGTGTAGGGGGGGGGGTTGAGTCGGGCAGGAGTGTAAGGGGGGGTTGATTCGGGCAGGAGTGTAGGGGGGGGTGGGTTGAGTCGGGCAGGAGTGTAGGGGGGGGTTGAGTCGGGCAGGAGTGTAGGGGGGGGGGTTGAGTCGGGGAGGAGTGTAGGGGGGGGGTTGAGTCGGGCAGGAGTGTAGGGTAGGAGTGTAGTGGGTGGGAAGATGGACATTCAGGTGTAGAGGTGGCAGAGTGGGCAGGCTGGTGTCAGGGGCAGATTGTAGATTAAGGAGGTTGGTGGCAGGGGAGGCATAGTGGGTGGGTAGGGGGCAGTCATGAGACAGAGTGGGTGGGGGGATGACTATCTGGAGGGGGTGGCACAGTGGGTGGGGGGTAGCCGTGGCCAGACAGGTGGTAGAGTGGGTTGGATTGCTGCTGTGGTCTAGCAGAAAAGAGATGCTGTATCCAACTAAGACTAACAGGAGCTGGTCACCCCCGGTCCCTCCCCAAGCCTGCCCCCATTCCCGTACCCTGTCCTCCCCGCTACCTCCATCCCTGCATCCCCACACCCTGTCCTCCTTGCTACATCCATCCCCACATCTTCATACCCTCTCCTCCATGCTACCTCCATCCCTGCATCCCCACTCCCTGTCCTACCTCTATCCCCTCATCCCCACTCCCTGTCCTACCTCTATCCCCTCATCCCCACTCCCTGTCCTACCTCTATCCCCTCATCCCCACTCCCTGTCCTACCTCTATCCCCTCATCCCCACTCCCTGTCCTACCTCTATCCCCTCATCCCCATTCCCTGTCCTACCTCTATCCCCTCATCCCCATTCCCTGTCCTACCTCTATCCCCTCATCCCCACTCCCTGTCCTACCTCTATCCCCTCATCCCCACTCCCTGTCCTACCTCTATCCCCTCATCCCCACTCCCTGTCCTACCTCTATCCCCTCATCCCCATTCCCTGTCCTACCTCTATCCCCTCGTCCCCATTCCCTGTCTTTCCCGGTACCCCCATTCCCACACCCCTGTCTTCCCCGCTACCTCCATTCCCACACCCCTGTCTTCCCCGCTACCCCCATTCCCACACCCTGTCCTCCCCGCTACCCCCATTCCCACACCCTGTCCTCCCCGCTACCTCCATTCCCACACCCTGTCCTCCCCGCTACCCCCATTCCCACACCCTGTCCTCCCCGCTACCCCCATTCCCACACCCTGTCCTCCCCGCTACCTCCATTCCCACACCCTGTCCTCCCCGCTACCTCCATTCCCACACCCTGTCCTCCCCGCTACCCCCATTCCCACACCCTGTCTTCCCCGCTACCCCCATTCCCACACCCTGTCTTCCCCGCTACCCCCATTCCCACACCCTGTCTTCCCCGCTACCCCCATTCCCACACCCTGTCTTCCCCGCTACCCCCATTCCCACACCCTGTCTTCCCCGCCACCCCCATTCCCACACCCTGTCTTCCCCGCTACCCCCATTCCCACACCCTGTCTTCCCCGCTACCCCCATTCCCACACCCTGTCCTGCTCGCTACCCCCATTCCAACACCCTGTCCTGCTCGCTACCCCCATTCCAGCATTCTCACACTGGACCCTCCCAGCTGTATCTCTCCCAGCCATGTCTGGACAGTAATAATACAATCAGCTTCCTTCCTACCAGCTGGTGGCCTGGGAGGCAGACTGCCAGAGCGTCTGATCTGATGTTAAACTCTTGCCATTTACGGACTGACTGACTTGCAACTGTGAATGCCTGATTGACTGTAAATACCTGACTGATGGTAAATGCCTAACTGGTTGCTACCACAACTGGAATGCTCATCTGCCCTTGGTTATGGCTGCCTTTGAATGTTTGACTAATTGACATGTTGTGACTGTAAATGACTGGCTGTGACTGGTTCTGAATGGCTGCTACATAACAGAGGCAGTGAAATGTGTAAAGGGGAAATCTGGAACGAGTGATGTAGATATGAAAGCATTTAAGGCGAGCAGGGGATGGGTTCATGTTATAATAGAAGGGGACGCCCCTTCCATACACTAACACCCCTTCTCCCCCCCCCCATCCTCACTGTTTGCCATATACTGTATCAATAAAAGTCCTCGATAAAGCCAAAGTGCAGTTAAATGTTAATTTATTTTATTTACATTTGATATTAATTCCTGATTGTTTTGTGTATGAAAAAATATGAAAGTATTCTGTATAAAATGTATTTTTAAGTTAATATTTTTGGGTGTGGAATGGATTAATTCAATTTACATTATTTCTTATGGGAAAGTTTCATTTGGTGTACAAATTTTTGGGTTACGATCCGTCTCTTGGAATGGATTAAATTTGTAGGACTGAGGTTCTTCTGCATATATAAATACAGTGGTACCTCAGCTTACGAATTTAATCAGTTCCCAGAGACAGCTCGTAACCCAAAAATTTGTAAACTGAAGCGAATTTCCCCATAAGAAATAATGGAAAATGAATTAATCGGTTCCAGACTCCCAAAAAAATTAACTTCATAGTAAATTTTATACCTAATTCACCCAAATCTTCAGTACAAAAGTATGTACAAGTTATTACTTACCTTTACTGATGACTCCTGTTAGCGTATGGAAGGCAGTGAGGAGTGGGGAGGAGAAGAGGTGTTACAGTACTGTTTGGAAGGGGAGTCGCCTTCCAATATAACATCAGGCAGTGATGACTTCTCTGAAGTACACTCTCTGGCACATTTTGCCTGCATACCACTAGGACCTGCTTGTGGCTCATTACTTGCTTGTCTTACTAAGAATCTGTCTAAAGACACTTTTTTCCCTACATTCCCTACACTTGTCTGTAGTAAGACATCACATTGTCATTTAAAAGATCGCTGCAACGGCCTGCTACAGCTTTATCTGGGTGAGTTTTTTCAACAAAGCTTTGCAGTTCTTCCCATACTTCACACATTTTCTTTAATGAGGAAGGGACATCCTCTACTGCCTCTTCTCACAACTATTTTCTTAGGTTGAACCTTACCACTGACTTTCTTGGGACCCATAGCAAGATATATAATAATTACTTATGATCAAATACCCAAAAATCCAAAAAACGCTGAAATTCTTTACAAAGAACTCGGCGCAATTGTCACTAGACAGGAGCCACTGGTAAATTGAGGTGCGATTGCCGTGCCACCACCCGCTAGATCGGCCCATACGCGTTTCAACAAACTCGTTTCCGAGGCAAAGTTCGAAACCAGATTAAAATTTTCCGAAGAAATTGGGCTCGTAACCCGAAAAGTTCGTAAAGAGGAGCATTTGTAAGCCGAGGTGTCACTGTATACTGTGTATATTCAATTTATTTATTTTCACATACACACACACACACACAGGTGTATTTATGCACATATATTACTGGTGAAATTATAAATAAAGCAAAACTTTGGTATTGTTTGGATTTAACAAGTATTCCATCATTTCAGACCTTGCTGGAGACTGACCTCATTTTGAACCTGTCTAATGATGGCATTCAATTATACTTTGACCCCGTGTGTCAAAGACTTAAGATTATTGAAGTGTTTAATATGAAGGCTGTTAAGTTAAAATATTGGTGAGTGCATTGTCTTCACCATCATCAGTTATCATTCTCATCATCATTATTATTATTATTACACATACAGTCTGGGGCATGTGCATTGGGACTATCCACTGCATAGGTTCGAGTCCTCATCACAGCTCCTACGAATTTTCTCATTATTATTATTATTGGTACACTATTATTGTTGTGATAGGCAGAACCATCTTAACAGTATTGTAGGATCTGGGTAAAGCAATGCAATGGGCTCTTACCCAGATGATGACTCCCCGCTCATCTGCTAAAGTACAGGATTACCCTCAGATAGTTATGCACAAATTATTTACTTTTTAAGTATACAGTAATTTGAAGAGGGATTTGAATCCCAGGCCTTTCCAGCAAAAGTTAGAGTAATATCCACTTTATCAAGAGATCTCTCATGAACAATGTGGCAGCACGGAGGCCTTGGACGTCTGCCCACTGTGTCTATGGAATAAAAGGGATATACCTGTAGAATGTTTGCTTATGGTTTACTGTAATCGGGCACAGTAAGCCCGTTAGGCTTATCAAGGTCCCCCATGTTATTCACTTAAAAAACTGAGAAAGCCTTATAATTGTTATTGGTTCATTTGCAGATAGCATTATGCATTTGTACAATGTTAATGCTGTACTTAAAAAGTAATACTGCACTGTAATTATTACTATCTTATGATAGCAGTGTATACCTACTTAAGGGTGGTTTTAAGGAGTAAACAAACTGCACCTGCTTCCGGTCGGTTAACTTAGGCTAAATGCCTGTTAGTGTGTACCAAAAGCACAGTACCTAGTTTACAGCAGTATCCAGCCAATTCTTGAATTGCAGATGAAGAGTCACAATAAAGTGGCTGAAGATATGATGACCAAACCACACATCTGAAGATGGAGAAACGACTGATGTTTCAGCCCTTCCTGGACCATTATCAAGTCGTGTGCGATAATGGTTCAGAACAGACCGAAACTCTGGTGTTTCCCCAACTTCTGATGTGTGGTTTGGTTATCACTTCTTGAGTTGTCACACTGGGCACAAAATGATGTGTACTGTATTTAATTACCTGAACCTAACCTAATCGACGACCCATGCATAGAAAACTTTAACTTTTGTGAACCGCTATTATGTATAGTACATTATACTTTGTCCGTTGGGAATTTTGATATCATGATGTGATGTATTATTCGAGAGGACAGGTTGCGGTATCAGTTGAGTATGAGCGTTCTATGGTATCAGGTTATCAGTGTTAGCTAATTTACTCATTATTGTATCGGTGTTGGCCAAGAATTGGTCTTCAGTACATCTGTAACTATTATCATTATTAGTAGTAATAGTATTACAGTACTGTATTATTATTATTTTTTATTATTATTATTACTGTATTATTATTATTACTATTATTATTATTATTATTATTACTACTGTACTATTATTACTGAGTTATTATTGTTTTAAGTCATTGTATTATAACAATCTCATTGCCATACACAGAGAGTAATCACACTTAACATGATGTGTCAATGAGAAAAACCATAGGAGCCGTGATGTGGGTTCGAACCTATGAGGTGGGTGTTCCCACGCACACACCCTAGTAGACTAGGCCACAACGTGGTCAAATATGTGGGTTTCCTAGTTGTCGTGGCCTTAACGCTGTTAAGGCCATAGGTTCGAACCTTCATTATGGCTCCTGTGGATTTACCTCACGTTCCATTTTTGATGGATGTGAGTCATCCTTATGTGTATAATTAACTTAATAAATTAATCCACGAGTTCTGTTATAGTCATGGAAATAATATTTTTTGAATAATTCAATTTCACAAACGACAAATATCACTTGTCGGTAATATTGCTTCAGGTTAAAACCAATTCAATAATGCTGAGTGCTGATCAAATATTTTACTTGCAGTGGGATACCTTTTAATTCGCCAGAAGTTGTCCCAAGCATTGAACAAATTGACCATTCATTTGGGGCCACCCATCCTGGTATTTATGATTTGGAGCGTCAGCTTCTTATAATCAACTTCCCAGGGCTCTCTTTCTACTTTTCTGTAGACCAGAAGTACCAGGTGAGTGATTAATTAGTGAGTTTTTCATTTTTATTGCTGCTGGTATCACAAACTATTGAATGTTCTTTGATAAGCTGATAAAAAGTCATTGTAACTTTGCTGAAAATTAGATGCCCAACCCACAAATCTGAAAATAAAGGAATAGATGATGTTTTGGTTCATTCTGGATCATTATGAAGTTGACTTCATAATGGTCCAGGATGGAACAAAATGTCGTCGATTCCATTATTTTCGCATTTGTAGGTTGGGTGTGTTCTCTGATAATTGTGAGAGGTAATTAACCAGCCTGACCTCTCATTTTGCCACTCCATAAAAAGCTGCAATGGTTTTTCCTTAATTAGAAATGTACTCACCCAAGCAACCCTCCTAACCTATTGAGGCCAATGCATAGAAAGTTTAATGTTATGGGGGCTTTAATATTTATTAATACATCACATTTTAGTGGATTGGTTAATTCTGTAAAAAAGATGACTTGACCAGGTTAGATGATGGGATGAATTATCAAGAGTTCCCTAAACCAGTATGACTGTACACTATTTACACACATTATGTATAAGTATCTACAGTATAGCAGTGTGAGGACAAAGAGGGTAGGTTATGAGGACTTAGTAAAGGAACTGTGCCCAACCACTTGGACCATCAGGGACTGAATTCTGACCGTGGTGTTCCATTGTCGGGGACAGGAAGCCTGTTAGGCTTACTGAGGTTTTCCTACGATGCAACTCACAACAGTTAACTTTTTCCTGGTTATCTATATACTGCTATGTTAACAGAGGCATCAGGTGAAAAGAAATATGACCAAACTTTATATATCCTGTAATAGGAATTGAACCTGGGATCTTCGGCTCCCTGGAGCTATCGGGCTAATATACAATTCATTAGACCAGGGGACTAGTCACAGGAGTTCAGCCTACCGGGGACCATGAGCCAGAACCTGGCCCCCTCAGAGAGGCACAGAAAGCAATGGCCCTGGAAAACTCCCCTGTGGTTGGGGGGGTTTTCCTTGTCTGCTATTGTCCAAGGTTAGGCCTGGACAATAGTTGACATAAAATTTAAAGATTGTAAATCTAGGGAAATTTCTAATTCGGTTCATTTTTGTTCTTTTCCTTATTCCAGCCGTGCCTAAACAAGGGCTTAGGCTCTCTGCAGTTTCCCAGTGGAGCATCTCCAGTGGTGTCTAAGATGCTCATATATAGTGGAAACAACCCAAATGATACTAGAGCCCCACCTTTGCCCTCCTCATGCATACATAACCTTATACATCTAGACTCGCTGTTGGTTCTCCGAGATATGGGCAAGACAAAGGGCCTGTCACTCAACCTTTTCACTGATGATGGTATGTGCTTTCTTCCCAGTCAGTATTTTTGACTAATTGTATATATTATATCATTACTTTGAAGTCTGGAACATTTCTGATGGGAAGCTTCAACAAGCGGAAGAATATTGTAATGTTTGTGTGTGTGAGTGTGTGTGCAAATGCTAATGGCAAAATCTGCTTTTTTATCTTTTTAACCCCCGCCACTATTCAGCTGCTGTTTGAAGTGATTGTAAATTATCATGCTTGGGGCCAACAGGCTTAGCCATATGTGTGTATGTGTACTGGAAATGTCTTCATTGATTTGATTTAACTTCCTTAATCTCAAGGTTGTCTTAATTTTGTAATGAACTCAACTTTCTGATCAGATTTTTTCTTATTATATTATGTAATTGAAAATAAGAAAGGATATTCATAATTAGCAGTGTACCAATATTTTTGTATCAGTATTGGTAAAATTGTATCTGATACTGCAGTTATTAACTTTTTTGACACAGGTGATTACAGGAGCAGATGACTTATGACTCCATTTAGCTCAATTCTCAGTCCTCTCAATTCCTTACTTTTCAGCTGTATGTATATATAGACACATCCTTACATAAATGTTGAGTTCCATGTATTTATTGTCTAAGCAATACCAGTTCAAATGAGTGCAGCTAAATTAGTTTTTTCTAAGAAAGACAATACCTGATCCTGTTGAGTAAAGTTCAAATTAGCTGGATTAATTGGTACTTTACCCCCCCAAGTGCAACCATACTTTTGTTCTGACTCAATCTTTTTGTTTTCCACAGTTTTGTATCAGAAGTTAAGTTTTTATTTGTGCAAATATAGGAACTCATATTTTCCATATTTTAATGATGACACACAGAAAAGTAATTTTTTTATTTACAAGCCCAATTCACTGGATCATAATCCTGTATTTGCATCTAGACTCCAGTTAAGAGTGAATTCTGTTGGAGTTGAACTTGGCTGTACTGGATAATATTTGCATTTTCAAAAATTACCTGAATACCAGTATGATGTATGCATACTTTATCAGTAAATTATCTGATTACAATTATCACTATTGTTTATTTTTTCAGGGAGATCACGCCATCATGAATCTCGTCAGACATTCATTCGGACTGTCCACTTTGGGGCTTCATGTCAAGAAGTAGCAATTGCTCTAGGGGCACCGTCGCGAATTTTCTATAAATCTGAAGACAAAATGAAAATTCACAATGCCCATGCGCGGAAAGCTACTATACGCTCCGATTTCTTCTTCAACTATTTTACTCTAGGATTGGTATGGTTGCTTAGTTTATGGCTTAGTTTAAGTGCAAGTCATTTTATTTTAATGCATTAATGTACAGCAAACAATTTTTAACCAGAATAGCTATAAGGTCAACATTCCACCATTTATATACAAAGGTTATGCAAAGGATATACAAAGTATTTGTTAATGTAGTACTGCCAATATTTATGAGATATACAAAATATAAACTGTGCTGTTCAAATGATATGTAAGGGATGTACACAAAATATACAAATATTATGTAAAAAGATAAAAAAGCAGAGTTTATACAAATGATATTTTGGAAACTCTGGATATATTGTACAAAAGGCAGTCAAACTACAACACTTCATTACTGTACATCCAAATGAGGTTTTTTTAACAATTCACTAGATATTATGAGTCATTAAATTTTATAATAGGATGTAAAACCATAATTAAGCTATAAAGGAAATTGTCAGAATGTTTACAAATAGAATGTGCTTGAGCAAAATTTTAATTTCATACCTTTCATCCTATTCTTACCTTTTGCCCCCCCCCCCCTTCCTGTCCAGCTTGTTGCCGTGAGGGGGCTTGGTGGGCGGCTGCCGGAGTGTGATGCTCCTTAAGACAGTCCTTAAGGAGCATCTCTGTCCTTTCGTAGCCTTGTGCTCCTGCTGCTGTCCTCTCTAATTCTGCTGGACAACTTTTCCTTTTCCTTTTGTTTTTCTTCCCCCTCTTCTCCTTTCTCGTTGTCATTTCTCACTGACCTTGTGCCTGTTTTGATCATTCTTTTGGTCTTCTTTTGTTTTGATGCCCGGGTGTTTGAGGAGGCATACTCTTGCACCCGCAGGAGGGTCCCCCTCCTGGTTCTCAGTCTGGGGTTTCCCTTCATTCTGCCCGGTCTGTCATGTCTCCTGTGTCTTCTTCCTCATCTCCCTCCGATCCTCCATCCCATCTTTCTCCTCCGTTTATTGGCTCTCCACGCCGCCTGTCAGTACGGGCTGATGTCCATTGCTCTCCCAACGGCCTTCGTGTATGCTCTTGTTCTGCTTCTCCTGTTGAGACGCTAGAATCCATTGCCCAGTACATTGTTGTTGGGACGCCTGTCTCTTTTGAGTCAGAAGCGTAAGCCTGGCTCCTCTCCCTCCTCCCCGGCGGGTAAAAAGGCTTCGCTATCTTCCTCGCTTCCTACCTCTGACACTCTCTCCGTCCCCTCCCGTTTCAGTGGTTACCCCTCCTATTCCTGCTATGGAGGTCTCTTTGGCCCCCGCTTCCCTCTCGGTTGCTGCCCTTGCTGAGGTGCACTCCCTGGTTTCTGCCCCCCTCCTGCTACTGTCCTTGACCCCTGGTTATTCCCCCTCTTCCTCCTCTGGACCCTATTCATCCGCCCCTGGTCAGTCCTCCAGCTCCCTTCCCTCCTTCTTTACTCAGTTTACCCATGCCTCCTAACCCTGATTTTCTTCAACGTGCTGTGTTCCCTTTTCACCTTTGTTTCTTTGTTGTTCTCTGTTGCTGTCCTTTCTCTTCTTGTCGATGTCTATTCTTCAATGGAACGTTCGTGGTTATTACACCAATTTCCTTGAACTCCAACTTCTGATTTTGCAGTTTTCGCCCCTTTGTGTCTGTCTCCAGGAGCCGATGCTTGGTGCTCGTCCTGGTCGCTTTCGTGGCTATTCCTTTCTCTCTTCCCCCCCCCCTCCCCAGCTGTTGCTGGGGCTCCTAACTTTTCTGCTCTCTTGATTTGCTCTGATGTTCCCTTTTTCCCCTTACTCTTTCCTTCGCCACTCCATTGTTCTGCTGCTCGTATCTTTGTGAGGAAATGGTACACCGTTTGTTCCATTTATCTATTCCGAGTGTCCCGCTTTCTCTTCCCAGTCTGAAACGCCTACTGGACTCCTTGCCGAAGCCTGTGCTCCTGCTAGGTGATTTCAGTTGTCGTTAATCCCTTGCTCATCTGCTTCTTCTACTCTCGCCGTCATGATGTTTTGCACCATACTGGGTTGCGCCTCAGTTCTGGTGCTTTTCGTTCGACTCCCATCCTCAGCGTGTATGTTGACACTGGCTTCCTATCTCTCCAGGACCACTGTGATCATTACTGTCTTCGCTCTCTTGCGCGGTCCTTGCAACATCCTTCCTCTTGCCTCTGTCGTGCTTTAACATTTGCCCCTCCTGTGGTTCCTGTTCCTCTTCACCACCTCCCTCTTTCTGGCCGGTTATCTTGCTTACAGGATTCTCTTTAAGTTCGCATTTCTAATGTTTCTCCTCGTGTTGTTCCTTCTTTGCCCCCGTGGAGAGTCCCCCTTCCGCAGTTTTGTACATCCTTAACCCGCATCACTAAAGCTTTTACCCCCTCCTACGGTTCTAAAACGCCTTTTCCTTGGGCACTTTTCTGCTCACTTCCGCTCCGTTTCCATCTTCACCGATGAGTCTAAGTCTGCGGACAGTGTAGGCTACTCTGTTGTTTTTCCTGATTGCACATATATGCGTCGCTTACCTCTGGAGACTAGCATCTTCACACCGAGACTTTATGCTATTCTCTATGCTCTTCGTCTCCTGCTTTCTCATTGTCAATCTTCCTTTGTAGTTGTTGTTGACTCTCGTAGCGCCATTATGGCTCTTGGGTCCTTTAATCCGGTTCATCCAGTGGTTGTCGAGATCCAGCATTGGCTGTTTCTTATTCACAGTAAATTTAAGTCGGTTGAGTTTTGCTGGGTTCCCAGCCATATTGGCGTCTCTTTAAATGAGCGTGTGGATGCTGCTGCCAGGGAAGCTGTCCGCTCTTGTCCCATCTCTTGTAAAGGTATTCCTTAGTCCGACTTTTACCCGGTTATCCATTCCTCCATCCTTGCCCGTTGGCAGGCTTGTTGGTCTTCTGTTACTGGTAACAAACTGCATACTCTTGAGTTGTGTGTCCTCGTGGCCGTCCTACCACCATAACCGGTGATGGAAGACGGCTCTGGCAAGGTTGGGTATTGGCCATACTCGCTTAACTCATGGTCACTTGATGGAGCGCCGCCCTGCTGCTTATTGTTATTATTGCTGCTTATTATCTTCAGCCATGTTATTGTGACTCCTCATCTGCATTAAAAAGCTGAATTTGCATCTCTAGGAAGACAAAAGAGTAAAGATTGACATGATTGGCATATATAAATGGATGATAAGGTATAACAAAGTTGATATGATAGGGTTCAAATATATTTACACAAAATAGAACTCAAAACATTGGATATAAATTAGAAAAGTTTAGATTCAGGAAAGACCTGGGTAAATACTGACTTGGAAACTAGGTTTATGAAAACCAGATTTATGGAACAAATTTCAATGTATCATAATAGACGTGGTATCACTGGATTATTTTAAGCATGTGTTAGACATATTCAAATGTGTTTGGTTGGATATAATTATGAGCTGTATATAAAAGTAAAAATAATTCCAAAATAAATATATACAGTGTGTGTGTGTCTTGTGTTAGCCTAGGTAAGTGTTATAATCATTATTTTACAGCCTCTCATGAATGCTGAGAGGCACCATTATGCTATTGAGCCATATGGGCAACTTTAATAATCAAACATTGACAAAATCTAAATGATGTGATAACCAAATTTCACTAGATGATCCACACACAATGATGACTGCACTTTGAGGGACAATTGTTTAAGTAATACCTTACACAAAACAATGTCACTTTTTTGGGGTGGCTTTTCTGTGGGGAGCCCTTTTGGCTCCTTGGAGCTATAGGACTAATATACACTATATTAGTCTGGGGCTTCAGTCAATGGAGTCCTGAAAACTGGGGACCAGAACCAGAACCTGGCCCCCCCTCTGAGAGGCACAGGGAGCAATGACTTGAGATGCTCTTGTATTTGGGGTATTCCTTGTCTGCCATCAACCAGGATAAGGTACCCAGGAAAATAGGCATCTCAAAACAAACCCCACATGGTAGAAATTGTAAAAACCCAAGACCAAACAGAGAAAAAGAACTCCCCAAAAGAAAGCGAAGGTCACCGCCACCGCCAGACCTCCCCTCCCTGGAAGGGGGGAGAAGGGAGCTCCGGACCCACACCTCATTTCATGGCTGAAGCGCTTCTGGAGCAGATCTTGACTCGGCCTCAGAATTTGATGGATTTTGTGCCCTTATGGTGTTTCCTGCTGTTTGTGGCACGTTGGCCATGAGTAACATACTGTACCGAGGGCTGCATGCACTTAGAACGGCCTTCCCTACGTGCCCTGTGAGTACAGTACTACCCTTTGGTTCTACGGTTACCTTCCCAGGTGCTCTCGGGCTTTACTTCCGTAGGGGTTCCTGTTGCTCAGCAGTTGTCCCGCCTTGGGGCCAACTGGGATTTAGTGGCCTTTGTTTGGCCTTGGGTAGGAAGTGGTGGTGGTGTTGCCGATTTGGGGTGTGAGGTACTGCTCAGCAGTAGCCGGTCGGCCGAGCGGACAGCACGCTGGACTTGTTATCCTGTGGTCCTGGATTCGATCCCAGGCACCGGCGAGAAACAATGGGCAGAGTTTCTTTCACCCTATGCCCCTGTTACCTAGCAGTAAAATAGGTACCTGGGTGTTAGTCAGCTGTCACGGGCCGCTTCCTGGGGGTGGAGGCCTGGTCGAGGACCGGGCCGCGGGGGCACTAAAAAGCCCCGAAATCATCTCAAGATAACCTCAAGCATCCCTACCAACGTGGTGGCCTTGTTCCCTGTTCCTCTTTTTTTTTTTTTTTTTTTTTTTTTTTTTTTTTTTTTTTGCTTGGAGATGGTCTGCCTGGTTTGACTTTTAGTCCTGCTAAGGTATTTTGGTGGCCCTCCTTTAGTCCCCCCCATGCTTGATCACCTCTCAGGGGTCCAGTTATAGCCCTATTCCCTCTTGTTGACATACAGTCAGCAAGAGGGAATAGGCTCTGTGCCGTTACCTGTGCACCTTGGCCTCTGGGGCCGTGGATGCTCTTTAGGCTAATCCAGTTTCTTCCCTGTTCCAGGGCTTGGGTCTCTTAGGGCATCAACAGGATTATTAAATCTAGCCAGCCTGCGGTCTACCCTCATGCCCATGACGATCATAAGTATGCTGCTTTGACTGCCTTGTCTGGCCACTTGTCTTGGCTGACATTTGGGCACGGGGTTTCGCAGGTCGAACAGGGTCCTGGCTGCCCATAATTTGGTTAATGTTCCGGGTCCCAGTCATTCGTATGTGGCTTTGAGTTGCAGGTTACAACCAGTTGTTTCGTCCAAGAGTTGATCCTCGTGGTGTGGCTGCCTCCCAGGTAAGTCCCTCTTTTTACTTATTTGTGGCTATGTAGCTCCTGGGAGCCAAAGCGGCTTCCCACAGAAAATCAAATCAGCGTTGAATGTAATGAAATTGCATTTTCTGAGTAAGTCCCGGAGGCTCCCTGACACACTCCCTCCCTCCGGTCAGCGGTTTAGTTTTTGATGCTCAGCCTCCAAACTGAGGTGTGAGGGGCCAGTGTGTGGGTCCAGGGGTCTCCGCTCCCCCACTTGGGGAGGGGATGGCTGCGTGGACAAGCTGCGCGGTGGCAGTGAATGACAATTGCTTGTTTGCAGGTTACCTTTGTTTTCTTTTGGGGAGTTCTATTTCTCTGTTCGGTCTTTAGTTTTTACAATTTCTACCATGTGGAGTTTGTTGTGAGATACCTACCTTTCTGGGTGCCTAACCCTGGTCGAAAGCAGACAAGGAATACCCCAAAATAGAAGAGGGGTCTCCTTAAGCCATTGCTCCCTGTGCCTCTCTGAGGGGGGCCACGTTCCGACTCTGGTCCTCAGTAGGCAGGACTCCACTGACTGAAGTCCCAGACTAATATAGTTTACATTAGTCCTATAGCTCCACAGAGCCTCTGGGGCTGACCCAGAAAATGGTGTTTCATTACATTAAACATAGATTGTTTTGAGTGTCATTTGGGTTTGGTTTATTCCTGTCTGCAATTCATTTTACCAAGGTAGGTTGTGTAATTTAGACACCTTATATGCATTTACTAATTGTTTATACATTTAATTTTTGTTTTGTAGGACATTCTCTTTGATGCCAAAACTCAGCGTGCCAAGAAGTTTGTTCTGCATACCAACTTCCCGGGGCATTTCAACTTCAACATGTACCACCGATGTGAGTTTGAGCTCCCTCTTACTGTTCCACGCCAGCCCGAGGACGCAACGCAGCTCATTGACTTACCCTCCACAATTACGGTATGATGCATAGCTTGTTGCCGTTGTGGTGAGTGTTCGACTTGAACATTACTCGGTGAATCAAATACTATAAAACATATTCTGGTGTGTGTGAATGTTTGATAAGTATTTAGTCTGTGTACTCTCTGCATGTCCATGAATATTAATGTGTATTCCTTGAATCATTGAATTATGTTTCAAGTTATAGCTTGTAAAGTTGTTAGTTTCATTGTAGTTATTAATATCTTTCCTTATTATATACTAAAAGCACTGCATGCTTGTAGAAATGTAGATTTTTAATATTTTCTATTAGTTATATTACATAAAAAGTTAGTGACTTGAAACCTATTCACCAATTAGGCTAGCACTAGAGTATTGATAAAGTTAGTAATTGCCATTCATATGGCAGTTTTATATATATTAATGGAGGGCTTTTGTAAATAAATTTGCTGCACTGATATTTATTCTGAGTGTTGTACATGGTTGTTGTATGAGTAGTGAACGGAGCATGTGTCTGAGAGGTAGTGAGGGCTATAACCACTTGTGGGATTCAAGATTTGTAATAACTGATTCACCCTTCCCCTGCATTAAAAAAATAGTATTTACCCATTTCAATTCCCTTAAAAATGCAGTTCACAACTTAATTATGCATTTATAGTTGTAACCATGAGGGTGTGGAGTGAAACAATGGTCTGTTTTAACAAAAAAATTATAAATAAAAGATTAAAAAAAACATGAAAATAACAATTGTTCATTGGGGGTTTGTGATGTGTGTGTGACAAAGGAGGTGTAAAGATGATAAATTCGTATTGCCTACTTACAATAAAGTAATAAATAATCATTTATACATGAAACAAATAAGATAAATAAAACTGGCAATGTGCGTGAGAAACACACATCACAACCGACCAATATTTATTCCTTGCCACGCACTTTAGATTTGAAGCCCACTTGCCACCCAAACTCTGGGCACTGTGTGTGTCCATGTGCCAAGGTCAGACTACCAACCCTTCCTCCTAGGATGCATCCCCACTACAAGCTGACTAACTCCTGGGTGCCTATTTACTGCTTGGTGAACAGGTGCATTAGGCGATAGAAAACACAGCTAGCCATTTCTCTCATGCCGAGATTTGAACCCAGAATTTCTAATTGTAAGTCGAGAACAAACCCGACTGGACTACTGGGACACTTATGTTGACACCTGAAAATTTTTCAGGTGTTCAGTTTATATGAACATGGTCATATAAACTATGTTATATATGAACATGTTCATATGTATATGTTCAGTTTAAAGTAATTGTTTTCTAAAATGTATATTCATAATATATAAAAATCATATATGAAGTCATAGGAAAAAGGACCGTTTTGGCCATTTAGGGCTAATATAGGGCGAGCTGGCTAAATCCCACAACTGGTTATAACTTAAAACCCCAGTAACTTATTATGCAAACCGGCAATTTAACCTGAGTTGATTTTAAAGTGTATTCTTTTGTTGATTTTCATCTAACTCCTGAACAACGATTCGACGCTGACCTCCGACTGGTGAATTACGTAACGACCCATCCTTGTGCTCTGGCTATATGTTATAAATATGGTAAGAGGTTAAAACAAAGACCAAGCCCATTGTCCTTTCACTGGTTTGATATTGCTTACCTTTTTCCAGCAGTGATTATTGAGAAACTTTCCTCTGTAGCTGTGTCATTTTGTAGTCTATTATTGAGAAACATTCCTCTGTAGCTGTGTCATTTGTAATCTATTATTGAGAAACTTTCCTCTGTAGCTGTGTGTCATTTGTAGTCTGTCAGCTGCTCTTTTGTGTAATGTACATCATTAAATTTACTGTAGTTACTCCAAAATAGCTGCAACTGTAAGCAACTTACTGTAATTACTCCAAAATGTTACTACAGAAAATATTTTCTCAATGTTATGCTTTTTCTATCTTACTGTTGGTAAGTTATCACTTCTTTAATCATTTAATCTATTAATTCAAAGAACTGTAAGGTAGGAAGAGAAGAGGAAGACAAAACCTTGTAGTGGAATAATGATATTGATGGGTGGTTTTAGGTGAGGTGTAGGTATAGTGTGTGTACTCACCTAGTCGTGCCTGCGATGATTGAGCTTTGGCTCTTTGGTCCCGCCTGTGTGTGTGTGTATTTGTATTCACCTAGTTGTTTTTGCGGGGGTTGAGCTCTGCGTTTTCGGCCTACCTCTCAACTGTAACTAACTACTAACTAATTTCCTCCCCCCCCTCCCACACACACACACAAACCCAGGAAGCAGCTCCGTAACAGCTGTCTAACTCCCAGGTACCTATTTACTGCTAGGGAACAGGGGCATCAGGGGTGAAAGAAACTTTGCCCATTTGTTTCTGCCTGGTCCAGGAATCGAACCCGGGCCACAGAATTAAGAGTCCTGCGCACTGTCCGCTCAGCTACCAGACCCCCCTGTGTGTGTGTGTGTGTACTCACCTAATTGTGCTTGCGGGGGTTGAGCTCTGGCTCTTTGGTCCCGTCTCTCAATCGTCAATCAACTGGTGTACAGATTCCTGTGTGTGTACTCACCTAATTGTGCTTGCGGGGGTTGAGCTCCGGCTCTTTGGTCCCGCCTCAAAGTGTGTGTGTGTGTGTGTGTGTGTGTGTGTGTGTGTGTGTGTGTGTGGGTGTGTGGGTGGATGGGTGGGTGTTGGGGGAGGGTATATGAAGTTTTGGAGACTTAAAGAAGACTACATAACTCATGACTACACAGTCCATGACTCGACAACCTATGACCCCACGGTCCATAACTTCACAGACCATTTCACTGGATAATGGGTGAAGATCGGTGCATAGAATACCAAGAGATCCCAGTCTGCTTTGGGTTCATTTTCTACGGTAGTATGTAGTACACGTACTCCCTTTCTCGATTATTACACAGTACACCATTTTTCATATCAAATAAAGAAAACTAGTGAAGGTATCTTCTAATCCCATTTACGTATAGCAGCTTGTACAAATTAAGATAAAGTGAACCAATTGCTCTCTCACTTTTAGAGCACTTTATAATAATAATAATAATAATAATAATAATAATAATAATTTTTATTTAGGTAAGGTACATACATAAAGAGATTTTACAAAGTTTGTTGGCTTTATAGATAGAGCTAGTACATACAATGCCTAAAGCCACTATTACGCAAAGCGTTTCGGGCAGATTTTACCTTTTATTCATTGTAAACAGAAAACTGGTTTTTGCACTTTCTTTCCCTTGCATGCTTCCCGACACACACCTTGTCTGTAAGTGCTCTGAAATCGGTTTGGTAATGCTTTCCCACAGATACCTCGGCTGCACGTGCCATAAAATCAGTCTCTTAACATCTCCCGGAACTTTTTGTGGACTAATATCAGCAACTTTGACGCTTATGCCTTTGTACATTAGTGCATGAGATCATTTATTTACCTATAGCAGGTCAAGACTTGATAATGGTCCAGGATGAACCGAAACAACGTCGCTTCTCCATCTTCCGAGTTGTGGTTTAGTCATCATTTCTTCCGCCACATTATTGTGATACTCTTCATCTGCATATAGCCGGTCAAGTCAAATTACCAGCCTTGATCTGTGTTAATATTGTATTAGGAAATTATATACAGTTTGTTACACTGTAAATTCACAACTTTATACTGTATGCAATTTGTCCAGTATGACTTAAACAAAATTGTGGTTCCGGTTATATTGAAATCACAACTTTTCTACAAATAAATTAACCAAATAGCTTTTCAAGCTTTTGTTACAAAGCGATAAGCATTCTGGATTTATTTTTATACGTCCATAGTCTCCTATGATTATATAATCCAAGCAATGCTGCAGTATCCAGACAAAGCTGACAGTCATAGAATCATTCGTCTATCCTCTGTTTAAGAATTATGATTCGACTGAGCTAATGGAGTTGTCTTTATGATTGATTACCCCCCATGGGCACAGTTGTGGGGAAAGTGAGAAAGGTGCTTGTCTATCAGTGACAATGGGAAGTGTGTAGCTCTTTATGCCCCTCCTCAAGGGCTTGTTTTCACCTTTTGCATTATACAGTAATTTAAATATTCTGTCGTTTGAATTCTTTGTTGGATCTGGGTGCCCCCCTTTCCCTGTTACTTATTAGTTATGCTCGTTACTATTTTCTTCCCCACTCTATTATTCTTTCAATAAATGCATTTTTTTCTGAGGGGAGCCCCGTCAGCTCCCTGAAGCTATCCAAATTGATATGTGCTATATTAGTTTGGGGTCATGAGTCGCAGGAGATATGCCTACTGGGGACCACGAGCCAGAACCTGGCCCCTCTCAGAGAGGTGCGGGAAGCAATGGCCTATGAGCACTTTACATTTAAAGTAGAGTACTGTACTGTATGTCATAATTGCCATCGACCGGGGAAGGACCTAGAAAGGTAGTGTGACGGTAAAGCGTTGGTGTTCGGCTGTTTCAAAAGCTGGGGGCAGGGCCTCGTCACATAACAAAAAAAAAAAAAGAGAGAAGTTTGTCCTTTTGTCTGTGGTAAGGTAATGGGAAGACACACAAAACACAAAGTATATAAACAATGAAATTTTAATTACTCTAGAAAACAAGACATGAATAAAGACAATCTCGTAAAATTCAAAATAGGTCAACAAACAAAACAACATGAATAATTACTGTCAATGAAAAGTTACTCTAAGACAAGAATGCAAGTTAAAATAAATAAAATAAGTGAGGTGCTGGGAATACTGGCTTCAAGCTGCCACCTCCCTTAGTACACGACAGCCAAGGCTTAGTCTACTAGAATATCTCTGCTCCTTGGAGTTGACATCTCTCGCTAGTAGACTAAGCCTTGGCTGTCGTGTACTAAGGGAGGTGGCAGCTTGAAGCCAGTATTCCCAGTACCTCACTTATTTGATTTATTTTAACTTGCATTCTTGTCTTAGAGTAACTTTATATTTCCAGTAATTATTCATGTTGTTTTGTTTGTTGACCTGTTTTGAATTTTACGAGATTGTCTTTATTCATGTCTTGTTTTCTAGAGTAATTAAAATTTCATTGTTTATATACTTTGTGTTTTGTGTGTCTTCCCATTACCTTACCACAGACAAAAGGACTTCTTCTAAAAAAACTTCTCTTTTTTTTTTGTTATGTGACGAGGCCCTGCCCCCAGCTTTTGAAACAGCCGAACACCAACGCTTTAAAGTCACATTACAGTAGGCAAATCAAAGCAGACCACTGTCTGGTTAACCTGTGCAATCTACATCCTAAAAGATCAAAATAACTCCGCTAGGAAGAAACCCAACAAGCAAGACTTCACGCAACTAGCACTCTCGCTCATTAGCGGCATCCCTTCCCCCCATAGAGGGGAGGGGGAGCCCATCACTCCAGTTCTTGAACTGATGTGCTGGTGGTCAGATCAATCACCTCTGGCCTCAAGTTCCTGTTCTGTATTTTTGCCCTGTGTGACTGTTCCAGCCGTGTGTGTAGTGTGGTGGCCAGATGTCTTAGTGTATAGGAGCAGCATGCACCTAGGGTGACCTTTCCTAGGTGCTCTGTGAGTACTGCCCTTGGGTGTCAGGTTTATCTTCCCTGGGGCATTCGGAAAGCGCTCCCCATTAGAGGACTCCAACACTTGATGTTGTCCTCGCCCTTGAAGTACGTCAGGGGGGTCTAGGGCTTTTTGTCTTGTCCCGGGTAGGGAAGTGTTATTGGCTGGGTGGGACACGTTGCTGTTGATGCAGCCAGCTTTACTTCAACATAGTGGCTGATGTTTCTCTGACTGCCAGTTTGTTGTGTGTCTTCAGGGGTTTTTGTTTTCATTTTAATTTTGTTCTCTCAACTTGTTTATACGAAGGAGGTCTGCTTAGCTTCTTATTAGGCAAGCCTAGGTTGTGTTGGTAGTCCTCTTCTGTTGCCCCTGATGTTGTCAGTTAGCCTACCTGACAGGGTTCTACCGGCTTATCTGGCCTCAGTGCCTGGGCTTCTCATTAGGCTGATTCACCCTGCCAGCCCTGGAAAACTTTTGTGTGGTAGGTCATACAATGGCTACTTCTTACAAGCCAGCTCACGCCTTGTGCGAAGTCGAAGGTTGTTCATTGCCCCTGCCTCAGGGAAATGCTCATCCATACTGCCTCCATCATGCTGCCTGTTGGGTCAGGGACAACACTGACTCGGAGTCTGGCGGGGCTTGTTCCCCGCTTGTACTTCTTTACTCATTCCCTGTCTGTTGATCTCAAGGATCAGCTGCATTGCATGCTTTGCATGCTCGACCCATCCAACCTGCTTTGTTAACTCCTGGGATTATAGCCTGCAACACTGCTAGGCTTAAGAAAAAAATCTAAACTTTTTTCTTCTAAGGTTGTTAATATGTGTTTCCTGATAAAGGGGGAAAAAAATCGTAGGTGACATATTTTGGCTGCAATAGGGCGAAGAATTCTGGCAAAATATAGGTGCTGGTCTCCTCCACCCGCGCTGTCGGGCAGAAGGTGCCACAAAGATATTATCTAATTACTTCAATGTCTCTGATTTTTTCCCTTTTTTTTCTTTTTTCTTGGTAATATTATTCAATAGTGTGTAGTGTGGTATATTTATATAACGTATGAACCATCGATATACTCAAAAGTATGATGTGCATATTTGTGATTTAACTATTATGTTCTTAAAACAATAAACAAATAGTTTTGCTGTTATTACACTCTATTTACACATTATATATAAGTACCTGTACTGCATGTTTTGTTTACCATAGTGACCACTAAATTGGTGTGATGACCCCAAACAACAAGAGTGGGCTGCCACACACCAGCTAGCAGACGGTACCTCCCTCCCTCCCTCCTTCAACACCTTAGTCGCTAACAGTCCTCATCCCTCAATACTGTTTGTACTTTTATTACACTATATACACACATGTTACATATAAGTACAGTATCTACATGTTTTGGTCACCATAACTGAACAACTAAGCTGGTATGGTGTCCAAACAACATAGTGCCCACAAAAAACTGCATGACAAATGACACAGCAGCTAGCACATGACAGCCTCACTCTCTCCCTCACCAACACCTCCCTCACCAACACCTCCCTCACCAACACCTTCCTCACCAAAATGGCTCCTCCCAACCTACTCCTTTTGCTGTTATTGAGTGGGCCGTCACACCCAGTCAGGAGACACTACCTCCCTCCCTCCCTCCTTTAACTCCTTAGTCGCCAGTATTCCTCCTCCCACAATATTGTTCGTGATTTTATTACACTATACAAGTATCTATATGTTTTATTCATTATAACTGTACAACTAAGCTGGTATGGTGTCCAAACAGCATAGTGGCCACAATGCACTGCATGACAAGTCACACACCAGCCAGCAGATGGCACTACCTCCATCACCAAAATGGCTCCTCCCTCCCTTCTTTTGCTGTTATTACACTATATATATAAATCTACATTTGTGTTCACCATAGCGAACCACTAAGCTGGTATGGTGAGTCCAGATAATAACAGGTTGCCCCACGGAGTCAGCAAACGATGCCACCTCTCCCTCCCTCCCTCACCAAGATTACTCCTCCCAACATACTATGCACATCGCTAATTCTCACCCACAATCCTGCTATTATCAGAGTCTGGGTCACTAAATCCTGTACATTAATAATTTTCCACAAGTTTATTTTGTAAAGGAGCATGTGAAGTTGTTAAAAGATTCTTAGATGGATAAAACAATGGCAGTGTGCTGTGACTAGCCTTGTGAACATCTTGAACAGCATTGTGTTCACTGATATCTGAACATTGTACACAATCTTTATCAGTCAGGCTCTTCTGTAATACTATCATGGCTAAATAATACTAGTTACATATATATTTTGACATTTTTAGGTGATACTGTGGTCACAAGGTGAACAGCAGTGCTGTTAGCTCATGCTGTGTGCACCAGCCTTGATTTCTCACTCAGTATTGAGGCCTTCACACCCGGGAATGTTGCCCACAATTTAAAAAAAAAATGGCGTTTGTTTACTAGAGCCCTGAATCTGATGTGAACTCTGTGTAGCCGTGGGACTTTTAAATCTTATACAGTATTCCCAACCAATTATAGCTGTGGTGCGCCATTCTGCAATTGTTACTCGCCCCAGTTATAAATGTATTGCGCTCTTTAAGGGTTTAAGGCAATTTCATACTTTTTATTGGTGTTATTAATATTAATATGTATATTATAAGGTCAGTTTTGATGTACCAGCAGTGTTTGTATGATATGCTGTTAGCATATTGGCATAATTTAGAGGTGATAATAGTTAGCAAGTTGAGGGATATGCAGACTGCGAGCAAACCATGAAAGTACTAGGTTTGCAGACAAAAACAGTCAAGAGTGTTTAGTTGCATTCATTGGAGCTTGCTTCATCTGTTAATACCTAGGATCCTTCACTCACCTTTATCAGCACTTTCCTTTAGTTTGTCTTTATTTCTTTCCCCAGAGTCTCACTCCTCTCACTTAACCTGCACAGTGAAGCAACAATGACATGATTTATCTGAGAGAATTCTTAGGTAATGCTATGGGGCTGCGAGTTTGATCTCATCACATTACCTCGGTATTTTCTTCACTTAAACGTGTCTCTCTCGTGCTGGTTTAGAAGTTGTATTGCTAACACATTGAAGGTTGAGAGCTACTACATTCACATAAATTGTCTGGATTATTATTTTTGACACCACATTGATTCTCTCTTGGTTGCATTGGATAAGCCTTCAATGGGTATCTTAGTACTATTTTCTTCCACATAATGTGCTCTTATTTCCTTTTATGTTTATTTCTGACAATTATGTTATCGGTGTGGGATGGCAGTCCCTCCGTGTGTTATGTTTAAGGTGTTCTACCAAAGGCATAAAACAGCAAACTGAGAGTTATGCTTGAAGTACTGACTGTACACTGAAAAGTGATAAAGTACACAAGTTAAAAATGCTTAAACTGTACATTTATTCTTTTATGAACTGCAAGAATGAATAATTTGAATTGATGTGTGTCTTCTGTATTGTATGGCAATTGCTAAAGACTTCAAGAAGAATATAGGTTTATAATTATTTTTATGTAGCAAGGTTAAAATGATGTCATGTAAAATGTTATTCAATTGCATGTTTTCATGAGAGGAAACTTTATTATTTAGTTATTGTGATCTTATCCCAAACTGTACACTTTCTTTTGATAATTACTTGCTTTGATCTAATCCCCATATTCATCTTAACTTATTCACAGGTTGGATAGTAATGAGCAAGCTGCAATATCTTTCTTTTAAGAAAAATTAGAATTTATTTTTATTAAAGATTTTAAACCATATTCATGACCTTAACTTCAAATTAATATTTGAAGTCAAATCCCTATAAAATATAAAACTAGTTGGTTTCACTGCATAAATCATTGCTCTTTTTGTACTGTTCTTGTGTAAATCACATTCAACAAGTGTTCTTCAGTGTATAGATTGATGGCTAACATAGTTTGATGCACCATTTGCATGGACACATTTGGGATTGTGTTGTGTAATGTGATGGTTTATTTGTATGTTTTGCATACAGGTTCAGAGTGTAACCTTGTGGGATACGTTGGGATCCAGGATCAAGCCTCGGGGACGGCCTGTTGTTCTCCACCGATCCTCTTCCACCAACACATCCAACCCTTTTGGCTCAACATTTTGCCATGCATATCAAGACATTATTTTTGAGGTACCAGTATATCAATCAATATCTATTTAAATGTGCCTAATTTAGTTGCAGTATCGCTCAAATAACCCAACCCACACATGTGATGCGAAATGAAAGTTATAGTACTGTACTGTACTATATTTCAGTCCATCTTGGAACTCATATTAAGACATGTCATGACTTGAAAATGGGTCCAGAATGGACTAAAATGTCATAATGTATTCATCAAGTTTGGTTGATGACACTGCTGCTCCTACCTGTTGAGCACCTCAAATTCTCATCTGCAAATTTGATGCATTTTAAAATATTCTCATCTACATCATAGATGAATATAACAAAAAGGATTGGCATTAAGTGGAGCCCTGCAGTACTCTACTCTCAATATTTTTCTAGTCGGATTAATTTCCATTTAAGACAATCTTTTGCTTTCTTTGTGTTAATCATCTTGTTTGTTGTGTGTCATTGATTCTGAGGATTAACTTTCCCGTGGACCGATCTCTTACAAGTCCTCCTGGTAGGTGGTCTGGTCAACCAGACTCACAATAACGACTCAGAAATACAATTGCATATGATTAGAATTAGCCTATTTAACTTATCAGTCACTCTCTTGTGGAACCGCTAGTTAATCTGGGTTCCATGGAACCCAGATTAAGAAAAGCTGATTTAGCCATTTTTCGAATAGTAATTTGTGGAGATACAGTTCATCAGCCAGTTCCTTTACAATTTTGGATTCAATTCCATCCATACCTCCAGCTTTAGAGTCCTTTAAATTATCAGTGCTCTTCCCGAATATATATTGCATGTAACTCTTTCACTGCTTCAAACATTCGTATTGATATGGGGATGTTATTCAATCTTTCTTGTACGAACACTTATGTAAAGCATTCACTCGGAGTGTTCATTGTCTTTTTATCTGTTGGTTATAACTCGGTTGGTTTTATCCTTCAAGGATCCCATTGAGTCTTCTGTCATAGTTTTAATGCATATATAAGCTTAAAAAGACTTGGGATCTATCTTGATATTTTGTGCAATTTTTTTTCCTTGGCTTCTTTCAGCTAAAAATGTCTTTTAGCTGAATTTAATGCTTTTTCTTTAAATCTCACAATTTCTCCGACTCCTGGTGGATGGAAATTTTCTTCAGTATGTGCATATTTATTAAAAGTTTTACTGCCTTTGTCATCCATCTAGTTCCTTTTCCATTTCTCAAGTTCATTGATGACCTTCTTAAAATTTTCAAATAATGCTTCAATGTCTTAATAGATTAACTTTCTCCAGGAGGTATTATTGCAATTACCCCCATCATTTTATGGCAGTTAGATTATTGCAGTATTGAAAATATTATCACATAAAGATTAAGTGGTTTATACATCTTCTTGCAATGCACACATTCTCATATTTTTCAGGTAATGGCTAATGGACATATAGCATCTGTAACTTTATATGAGAGTGAAGAAGCAGCATAGTACTGGTTCTAGGAGGGTGACAGCATCTTAGAAAATGTAGAACCACACAGAACTATAAGAAACTACTTATTACCAAAAGAATCCACTATTGCTCCAGTACTGTTAATATTATTTTTGTGTGTGTGTGAAAATTTTACTTTGAAAATCAGATGATTACAAGTTTTGATACGTATCAACTTCATGGAAAAAGTGACGAGATGGATGGTGCTAGTGTGCTTGCAACACTTGGTGATGTGTCGCTACAAGATATTCTTTGCTTGTCGGATTGAGCTGTGTCAGGAGAGATTCATCGCAGAAATGTGCTTCAATTGATAATAGTATGGAGGCTAGTGGAGAGCATTGATAGCTGTCCCTTATAATCATTTATAGCTTATATTGAGCCTGAAATGGTTATTAGGATAATCATATGACACAATTGGCCATTAGGCTGAGGTTAATTGATAGTTTTGCGTTGATTTTTTGTGGTTGTGTAGTGAATGGTTAGTTATACAAGGAAATATATAACAAAGAAAAGTAAACACTACATTTTGTTTCGAGAACATTTTTAAACATTTGTATTTTATTTTATAACTGGTAGTATTCTGTATAAGCTAATTTTTCCTATTCATAAATACTATACCATCTACATTTTCCAAGGTCAAATAAATAATAATTTTGACCAGAAAAGGCCATATTTTGATGGTATTAGGCTTATTTTATAATTCATTGATATATTGAATGTAAAACAGGCACAAAGAAACTTGTAAATATTTTATTAGTACATATATTTCACTTCAGATTATTACACAGGTTTGGTAGCCCTGTTCTTTTTAATTTGTGGTATTACTTTTAAGTTTATTTATTTTTTCAAGTGCTTTGATCTTTTGAGTTGAAGGTCTTGCCTGTTTGCATTCAAAGGTGTGTTTATATATATATATATATATATATATATATATATATATATATATATATATATATATATATATATATATATATATATATATATAATACATACATATACACAAACATACAGTACATACATACATACACTATGACAAAGGCTGCATGAAGAGAGCCATTAATCACTAAGAACTGCATTGACCCAACCAGGATTCGAACCCCAGTCATCCCATGAATCATTAGCCTAGTGGTTATGGTTCTCTGTATGCCGAGATGTGATCCTGGGCGACAGGGGGTTCGAATCCTGGCTGGGTCAATAGAATTCTTAGTAAATATGTGTGTGTGTGTGTGTGTATGTATATATATATATGTATGTGTGTGTATGTATATATATATATATATATATATATATATATATATATATATATATATATATATATATATATATATATATATATATACAGGTATATATATATATATATATATATATATATATATATATATATATATATATATATATATATATATATATAAATAAATAAATGTAGTGTTATGCTGGATTATTTCCAGTCAATATACCAACAAATACTGTACATTGAAAATTATTTTCCAGTAAGCTGAACCTGTTAGGCCCAAGCATTTTTTTAAGACTTGTATTTTTATTGGAAGAGAGCAGCTTAGGCCTATGTGGGAATGGAAGGAAGAAAAGCATGTCTTGCATGGAAGTTTGAGATTATTTAAAGTAATTTGCATGTAAAATCAGGCAAAGAAATCGGAAAGAACTTTTTTTTTTTAATATCAAGTATTGCAATGAATCATATTTTATAGTTAAAGCTTAAAATGTATACATTGAGTTTTGCCTGTTGCTGATGGCAGATGTAGAAATTTTAATTATTTAAAGTATATTAAGTGCTCAGGACTTGCAAAATTTCTGTAGTCAAAATGTTTAGGAAGTGAAAAAAAAATGGCTCAAGAAAGAGCCAATTTGTGTGAATTGGTTTATTTGTATAATTATTTGTATCTAATTACTTTAAATGAACTGCCCTCTACGTCATTTTTTTTGTCTTTTTTTTTTTTTGTTTTAATGCACTTGTAGGGACCTCAACAAGCCTCAAAACATTTGCCAAAGATTTATAGATACTGGGTTTGATTGTCATGTGAGCTATTCTCCTTGTTCACCATTGACAACAACGATTACAACTGCAACATCGGAAAACTAATAACTGGCAACAGTCACTGTGCATCAGTTGAAATAGGCCATCAATGCCAGGAAAGTGGCTCCTTTACTTAGGTTTTCCGAGTGTGATCAATGCCTTCCAGTCCACAAGCTTGGAAAGAACAATTGAGTATCATTTTCCTATAAATATTTTTGCCATTTAATGTTTAATCTTTCAATTGCAGTCATCGTCGTATATTGAGCTCCAGTTTAATGCAATTTTGTCTATCCAAAGCAAAATTTTGTGTCTGTTGGTTATTTAGCCAAGAATTATCTTAGGATCACAGCTTCATACTTGTTTCTTAAGTTGCTGTGTGAATGCCAAAGTATTGGATCATTCTAGAAACTTTGAAAGTTGTATAACTTCAAACTATTATCAATTGTTGATCAGTTTGATAAAGTTGCAGAACTAAATAGATTCATAAAATAAGAAAACATTGAAAATAAGAGGTCAGTTTGAGGGTAAAATTGTGTAAATATAATTATAATACTTATCTGTTTCCCTTGGACAATTATTTAAGCTTCAGCATGGATGAAAATAAGGTCTTGTTGTTTTTGGCAACAACACAATACTTGCTGGATTAGAAAGAAAATTTTATATCATATATAATGTTCCTATGACATGAATCTTTTCAAATATTACAAAGGTATTGTAGGTTTGAAAATCTTTAAAATTTATCCAGGAGTTCCCAATAATGTTAATAATTTTAGTTTCCAATCAAGTCTTTCAAACTTTATTGTTAATATACATATACTTTTCTTATTAGTGTTAAGATATAAAGTTGTTAGCATACTTGCCAGAGGTTCAGTTAGGCAACTACACGAGTGTGCGACGTAACTGAACAGTTGAGATAGCAGAGAGCGGAATATACTTAGCGTGGGGAAAACTAGTATAATTTTCATTGGCCAAGTGCGGCTGTTTCTGGTAGGTAAATACCAAATGCTATTGGCATGTAGTTTTCAAGCTGTTTGCAGTTTATAAACCCAAGTGCTTTAATAAATTAATATTCTATACTTATACTTTTTAACAGTTTTGTTGAGAATGGAATATGGTTTTCAACTGCTTGACTGATTTATACAAATTACCTAACTTTTAGAATGTAAGGTTTTCAATAGTAGGAGTGATTTCAATTGTATATGTACCTTATTTTTAATATTGGAATTGGATACAATGCATTGTACATGAAAAATGTCAGTTAGGGAAAAATAGGAATGATATGAAGGAATGTTTTCACAATAAAGATGTTTTCTCTAGATGCATTTATGTGAAGATACAGAGTAAAAACAAGGCACATTTATATACAGTATTTGGTTATTAAACTTGCTAAAGTTTCCTTAGAGAGGAAGGATGACATTGGTTGTGCGTTGTTCCTAGAGTGTTATAAGTTATGGTCTTGAATGGTAACTTCCAGGCAGAATCTCATCACAATATCCATTTGAAATAGTTATTTTTGTCCTTATTCAGTGCACTTAAACCAGTAGATAAGATAATTCCATACGCTGGTAATCTAAGAGCATTAAATCTCGTTAAGCTGTATTGTGAAGTGGAATGTCTAATGATGATGCAATATCTCGGCGATTGATATCTTGAAGAAAGTGCCACAGGGTATACATAACATAATTTAACCAGTAACATCAAGAGCCCTAATGTACATGTGATGATCACCACTAATCTTGATTTTAATTTATGCTGTTTGTATTAACACTTTTCAATGGCAATTACTGTGTAAACAAAATCTTCACATGTAGTTTGGCAACAATTCTAAAATGACTGTTAGCTTTTGTAAATGTTGATGGAAACTCTGGTATTTGATTATATAAAATATATTTTTGAATAGAGATCAAATTGCTGTTCTGGATTTTGAATGTTTCTCTTGTTAGGTAAACTTTCTAAGCATAAAGCAACTGTTATTTTTAAAGAAAATATTGTCCACAAAAAAATTTTGCTGCCTACTTTGATCAGCAAAAATGTTCAATTATTTTTTAGAACTAAAAATGTACTGTACACAGTTAAACTTTTGACTCTGAAACATCAAAGCTAATTAAAACTATAGATCATTAAGGGCAAATGTTAAAAGTATTTGTTAAAATTCAGAATCAAAGTTTTTATTTTAGCAATTACATAAAATATTTTTTTGTACTAAAACTTATTTTGCTACTGTTTAATTAATTCCTTGTTATACAGTTGATCTTTCAAGGAAGGTTATTCAAAATAAAATGTAGAGGGACTAATCCACATTCAAAGTACTATAATTTGCATGATTTTTTTTTGATTTTTTTTGTAATGAGCACCTGCTGGAATATATTTTTTTATTTAATAACATTACGGATGCAAACATCCTTTTATATTACATTTTCCATAGCTCAAGTTTGAATGAAATTTTTTTCATGTTTAATTTATTTCATAGTGTAGTGTATTTATTAATTACATAATTGTGCATCTGCTCTCAGAATTTCCATGCTTTTTAGCTATGATGCTCTTCAATAAGTTAGTAATGCAAGTATGATGGCATTGTATCACAGTTAAGAATAATTGAGAAAATGAACAAATATTGAAGCCTTTAATGGTATCGAACTCATATCCTTGAACTCTTCAGGCACGTGCATTCTTGAACTCCTCAGGGGCACGCATCCTTGAACTCCTCAGGTGAATGCATCCTTGAACTTCTCTGGTAAACGCATCCTTGAATTTCTCAGGAGCATGCACGCATCCTTGAATTTCTCAGGGGCATGCACGCATCCTTGAATTTCTCAGGGGCATGCACGCATCCTTGAATTTCTCAGGAGCATGCACGCATCTTTGAATTTCTCAGGAGCATGCACGCATCCTTGAATTTCTCAGGAGCATGCACGCATCCTTGAATTTCACAGGAGCATGCACACATCCCTGAACTCCTCATGCACATGCACTGCCAACTGGACTGTGATGGGTTTGACCCCATTGTGCGGCTCCAATATTTTCTCATAGATGCATTAGACAATTGTGGTTTCACTGTGCAATTAAGAAAATGTTTAATTTATCAGTTGAATAGAAGAAAAACATGTTAAAAAAAATGAAGAAGCATTGCCAAATTGTATCTCATAGCTTTAGGAAAGTTCTAAAAGAAAGTGTGTTTCATCAAAGGGAAAGCGAGAGATGGCTAATCAAGTTTTAGTTTATCTCTTAGATCAAAAGTAGCCATTGAGAATAAAAATTAATATACTAAAAATAAATGTGGTTCAAAAAACATCCCTCCTGTATTGGGACATGTATATAGGTTTATGCAGGTAATTGTCACATGAATCACAGGGCTGTTATCACTTGGGACTGATGTTAAAAATCTGAAAGTCAGTTGAAGTGACTGGAAAAAATAAATAGTTTGTCTTAGGGCATTTTGTATATAGGTAATACTAGATTTCTCGCATGAAAATTAAAAAAAAAAAAAATTTGATCTGTAAAATACTTTTGAGTCGTCTTCATCCAAGATGGATGCCATGCTTAAATTTGACGAGTCCTTAAGTTCAAGAGATATTTGTACATATATCTATCAATTTATGTATTTACCTGTCTTTATCTGTGTCCTATGCACACAAACTATTGAGACAGGAACATATAACTTGAATTACATAAACATGTACACAAAATTCCCTGCATGTGGATAACTCACTTTTGTGCAGACATCGTATATACTGTATAACATACACATATATGAACATCCCACACATTAATAACACTCCCAGTGAAGTTTGGGAGTGTCAATAAGTGGTAAGAAAGGTTGATAAAGTACATGGTAACAGGAGGGCTATTTTAAGTCTGAGAAAGAGAGAAGACATAGGATTAGGCATGTCAGCGTTAACATCAGAGGCACATAGAGTAATCACGCCAGCGTGACTGCATCAATGAGAAAATCCGTGGGAACACCCACCACATAGGTTCAGACCCTCGTTGCAGCTGCTACAGATTCTTCTGAGGTACATGTTAAGTAGAATGTGGTGGCTTGTGCACAATTTGTTGATCTAATTATTTTAGAGATCAAAGTAAGGAATTATGCAGAATCATGGAAGAAATAAAAAACTATAAATTTGCTTTGGGACTAGTTCTGTAGGTAAGAGTTGAAATATGAGGGCAAATAAAGCAGTCTTCTTCTTCAACTTGCACTCAACATTCCCAGG